CCAGGACTCGCCTCAGCCGGCTCTATATTTTAATTTGTTACATTATGGCGGCGTGAGGGAGATAACCTTTCCAACCGGCAGGCAAATGCCTGAAAATGAATGAGATTACATGACCGGCTCCGCGTGGCACTGCGCCGCAGTTCAGGACACAGGCCCCGGTTATCTGATAGTAACCTAGCAACAGAAACCCGACCCGGCACTGACCTCGAGCCGATAAGGTCGACACCCGAAGGTTTCCCTTATTGGGTCTCTGGGTCGGGGGAGAAGGAGGTGGAAAGGAACAAAGGCGTCCGGGAAGGACAGAGATGAATCAGAGTCAGAAAAGAGAGAGAGGAATGCCAGGACAGAGCAGCCTGGTCTCTCTCCTGCTAGTTCATGTCCAAGCCCGTGTTTATAATCTGTACAGTCCCGGCTGTAGGATCAGCGCCTGACAGAGGTCACTGGGTGAACACTCCCCCCCTTCTGGGATACCCTAAGGGGGGGGGGGGGGGCGGACAGTGACGCGGGCCCTCCCCTCTCAGCTGCACGTCCCACGGCCCCCGCTAAAAGCACTGGCTCCCCCCGCAGGGCCGTGACACCGGTGCTTGTCAGCCCGTTTATTAGCTGTCTTCTCCCCCCCCCCCCCCCCCCCCCCCCCCTCCCGTCAGGCGCTCAAGGCCACTTGGCAAAGCCACTCCGGCTTCCTCCCGTTACCATTCGGTCTGTTCAGCGATTGTTCTGCCGTCACATGCCAAGATGGAAGCCGTCCACCTCGCCGCCGGCCCGAGGACGGCACTCCGTAATAAGGCTGGACGTGACAGCTGAGGTTAATTTTATTGTTTATCCGAAGAGGCAACATACAGGTAGCCACAGGCTGGTAATGATCTGACACCCCGCTTAGTCACCCCGTGCTTGTACTACTGACCTCTGCCGCTTAACGCTCTTATGACGCCGAGTGCAGCGACTTTGGACAAAAATGTCCGCAAAATACATAAGTGTGACTAATTTTGCTCCCCGTTCATGCCCTTGGCAAGTTTATTGCCGTTCCTTTTTTTTGGTAGGAAGCCTGAATGAAAAATGAAACGCACAGAGACCGCAGCGCCGTTAAATACACTAGAGTTAAGCAAATAATCCCAGCAATTAAAATACTTCATTAAGGAACAAACGGCGGGGCCTGACGTAACGTGATCCCCTGCTGGGTCCAGTCTGACCTTCTTCATTTAAAAGGCAAATCAAAACAAAGGATGGACCTGAGAGTCCAAACGCGAGGACGCGCCAAAGCCCTAACCAGCAACCTTTTCTACGGCTTCCATTATTTTTTTTTTGATTATTTATTTGCTTATTTATTTACTTGGCAGACATCTTGGCGGGCTCTTCCGGAACGCATCTCTAAGGCATCTCAAGTCGGCGATTTAATGAAATTGGCTTAATTTAATCGCTCTCCCTCCTGATGCACTCGCCGACTCGGGCCGGGCGCCCCAGCGTCGAGCTCATTTCAATATCCAATTCATCGTGTCATCAGGATTCAAGGCATGCAACCACCACTCTGCCGTTTCTAACGACGATCACAACGTTGCGGCAGCTTGATCCGACCTGTCGTCCTTCCTGATGTCTGAGAATCCCGCCAATGGCTTAGGGTGAGTCACCCAGCAAGATGGACGGCAACGCCTTCCCTCTCGTCCGTGCCTGATCTCCTGATGGCCCTCGTTCTCCCAGCAGCTTATAGGTGCTTTTTTTCTGTCCTGGACACAGTCGAGGAGTTTATGTTAATGGCGTGACGGTCGGTGGCTGAAATGGCCGCGGACACAGAGGGGCCATCTTATCTGATCACGGGGGCGTCCCCTTCCGAAACCTCGCTCCCCGTACGGCTCATGTAACGGGACTGAGATCCGCCGCAAAGCATCAGACATCAGCTGTGGTCTTCCGACTGATTTTTAGTCACAATGCTGTTGATGATGCTGAAAACAACTCACAGGTTTTTACCAGTGTGTGGTGCACGTTAACCGGTGTACACGCCTTTACTGATATCGCAAGCTTGTCTGATTTAGAGCCAGAAATCAAGATAAATCGTGCCTGACGTTTTTCCATCTTTGATAGGAACTTGCAACTAAATTCAAGACAAACCGATAATCCATCCATCCATCCATCGATCTTCTAAGCACTTAACTTTCAGGGTCATGGGGGCAAATGGGTAATGAGTAGGACAACTGAAGAAAGAAAAAAAAACTGCAATACCTTAGTTTACACATGCACACCAGTGCAATCAGGGTGTTGAAGGCTTGGTTATGTCCATTATTTGTCCAATGAATGTCAGTTTGTTTATATCCTGAATTATTTTGCTTGCAAGGTCACATGTTACAGATGGAATAAAAAAAGTCTATTATCTTGATTTCTGGCTTTAAATTAAAAAAAAACGCGCAATTCCAATAACAGTGTGTGCAGACTTTTTAATGTCCACTATATATTGCATGTTTTAGCAATGCAAGATCAAAGGTACATCAGCAGTGCCCTTGTTGGGATCACTGGGTTATGGGTGCATGTGCTTGTCCTGGGGGGGGGGGGGGGGATTGATGACACTTTCCGAAAACTAACTTCAGAAAGATGTCACACAAGGTGCGAGGAACAGAACCCTCGGACGAGTGAACTCGTAAGGGATCATCTCTGTCTTCAGGTTGAAGCACCTGGATTTTATTCACCAAACGCAGGCTGTGTCTCTGCATAGATGCTTTTTAATAAGCGATAATAACACCAAATATAAAGTAATGGATCATGGACCAGACAATGAATTCCCCAGTGCCAGCAGCGGGCCATGGCTGACGTGTGGAAAACAGACAAGAATTCTCCTCATTTTTCAAAACCTGATCTTTATAGATTTTTAACAACACTGAAGATGATTTTGTTAAAGTAACTACGGATTATCGATACTGAGGGCATGAACTAATATTGCAAAAGGCTGAAACAATACAAATATTCTTTGGAAATAGAGTGTGTTGTAAAGGCTTGAATTCTACCTGTAGATTTTGTAATATAAAACAGGATTAATATTGTAAATTTTTGTGGTAGGAATCCACACATTGCATCGGATTTCTGATCAGATGCAATTCTGATAAAATATAGGGTGGAAAGCTGTCTTGAGAAAAAGTGAAACTGAAAACAACTAAAGTGTGCAGTTTTTACCTGTATTTTTCAAACATACGTGGATCTGTGGTGTTGCTGGGAAACCACATCAGCTCAGCCTTAAGCCTGAACAATGACCTTTAGGTGCAGTGGCGTGTGAGGTCACGGCTGTCTCCATGACGACTATCAGACAATCGTCCTGCTGCAAACATTACCTCAGCAGCCTGGTATCCAAGGGGGGGGGGGGTCATAGGACAAACCTTGGCCTTCCCCCCAGTGACAGAAATACTCTGTAAACTTGCCTCCACACAACAACAGGATTTAAGATGTTGACATTTGGTTTTTGAGGTTTCCGAATAGGATCTTATACAGTTTGCATTACAGGGACGAAAACAGAAAAAAAGTTATCTAACATCACACGAAAGTTCATGAACTTTTCCATTCAGAATGGAAGACAGTCAGATTTGTTTCTGAAGAAATCTCCCACCCGCATCCAGGTGTCCTGGCTGTGGAGAACATTTAAGCTGCTGAGAATTACTGCGGTAGAAACACGGTACATGCTAAATGAGAGCAGACACAGTGATTAGGGGAATTCCCTTCTGAGCGCTGGGAACACCTGGTCTTGGCGCTGGGGCGGCGTCGACAGGTGGAGGAGAGGAGCGAGGGAGACGGGGAGCCGAGAGAGCCGAGGGAAGCTGCTGCGGATTGCAGCCTCTCTGTACCCTAGAGCCGCGCTGTCGGTCCGACTCGGCACGGGCAGGCGATCAGACCCGTTCCGTCCAAGCAACGTGACCCTTCGCCGGCATCAATTTGTTGGGCAAACATGAGCAGACGGCTGTGAAACCGAGCTCCCGGTATTCCTTTCAAATCAAGCGGTCAATAAAATCTATAGATACTTTTGTAGTGAGTGACGTTCCAGCGAGAGGTTTCCCCAAGCTGCTGCAAGCACTGAACACGTCATCAAACTACGAGCTAGTAGTTCCTCACCCCAGGAACGGGACCCTCGCTAACAGTGAAAGTTCAGACCTTGCGCTATAAACAATCTTGAGAATCATTCAGGTCCTTAATCAGCCATAGTAATTAATATTCAGACTTGTTTTAATTAATATCACCTCAGCATCCTGCACTGGAGTTCTGGATAAGTTATTTGTTTATACATATTTTTTACAGCAAATGCAGTGAAACATTTAACTGCCTATATGCAAACATGCACAGGTATTGTGATTAAACATTAAAGGACACGCATGCATTCTGTGTCTTAATTATTGCAGTCATGTAGCATGTGACTGATGTCTGAATAAATATATAAACTTTAGATTTAAGGCTTGTATCTCAGCAGCCCAATACGTGGGCTCAGTAGCATCGGATAGGGATGTTAATCAGCTCGTCTTGTATTCTAATTAGGAATATACAAACTGTGTGTCAGTCACCTGTGGTCAGCCGAGAGCTGTAATTAGGGCATTTGCTAATTGCCGCCATAACGAGCTTCTTGCGCCTGGGTCTGAGTCAAAGCAGGACAGCCAGAAGCAGATGTAGTGATACCGTGACTGAGGTGTGCGCGTGTGGGGGGGTGCGCGTACCTAATGACACATATCGCGACAGATTCCCAACAGGAAGCCAATAACGACTGCTCTGATAAATACCATCACGGCTAAACTAAATGCGTGTTTAATTTTATTTACAAAACAATTTATTAAACTATTATAAATTGTTGCATCATAGTGACAAGAATGGGAAAAAATGTTGACTTTTATACTAATTTATAGTTTTTATTAAGGGAAAATACTACTACTAACATTAATACCGAATTACTTTTTTTTGTAAAAGAAAATTAAAAATCGATTGCTTGGTGGTGTTCTGCTTATGAAAAAAGAACTAAATTGTTATTTACATTTCATGTTTATACGTGAACGATTTTTTTTTTTTTGCGTGTGCACACTACCTGTATAATTGCACGCACATATGCACACGGAGAACTGTAACGCCAGATAAAGATATCCATCGGATCCATGCATTCAGCATACACCCTAAAAGCCTACAGTATGTGTCCCTCCGAGGGCTCGCCGTGTGCTGCTGCGCGAGCCGATCCCCTGTGTGTGTGCATGAGTGTGCGCGCGCGCGCGCGCCTGTGTGTGTGTGTCTGCTCCGCTGCTGCTGCCCTTTGATCCCCGCATTAGTGTTAGTTAGGGGCTCGGAGACACACACTTTGCACAGAGAGCAGCCATAGTCAAGACACGGCAACAACACCACCGCCGCCGCCGCCGCCTCCCCCCCGTGTCCCCGCTACCGACAATACGCTCCGAGCCGAGGACAGCCAGGTGCACGGCGAGCCCCTGCCATCACACACTCGCCTACTATTTCAATGGAAAAAATCCCTTTTTCTTCGTATCCCTAAACAAGGAGGAGAATGTGAAAAAAGGGGGGAAAATGCCCCGGAGGAAGCAGGAGCAGCCCAAGCGCCTGCCGTCACGTAAGTCGATTTCTGAATTTGCAAAGACGGTCGTGCTTTTTCCCTTTTTTCTCCCTCGAAACGGCTTTGCGTGCGTTTTGCGCAGTAGTTTAGGGTTAAAGAGGTGAAACAAAGACGCGGCGTAGGTTATTTCTCCTTTTTTTAGGTCTGTGCTAGGCAGCCATGTTGGCGATGAGCAGCCTGGCGAGCGAGTGTGTAAAGCAGCACGCCGGACACTAAGCGATCGCTAAAGGTCCTGCTACGGTCACTCATGGTGTGTAACGCCGCTAAACGCCTTTATGGCAGGCAAACGCTTTTTTTATCCATTTTTTCCCCCCCATTTCCCCCCTAAGCTTATCTGTCCATGGAGCCGCGTCTGCTCTCTTGCAGGAGAAAGGGGAGGATCGGAGGCTCTGGCCGCTATAAAGCGAAGGGTCAGTCGGATCAGAGGAGCCAGGCTACATTCAGGCTTCCGTGCCCCGGCGGATCCTGACGCCGCTCGGCAACTTTATTCCCCTTTTCTGTTGGAGGAGGAGTAGGAGGGGGGAAGAGAGGAAAACATCAAACTTTCCATATGCTGCGAAAAAAATAAACATCGCTTTTCTGTATTTTAATGCAAAACGTTCAGGAGTCGGATGGGACTTTCTAAAGAGTATTATTATCGGTATCGTTTTGCAGCTGCGATCTCCCCCTCTTCCTCCCATCCAGCCCTGGAGGTCTCCGTGGGTGCGGGCAGCCCGTGTCGGAACCCCCTGATCGGTCACCTGAAGTTCAGGGCTTTTTCTCCCCCCCGTGCCTCTGCGGCCATCCATTGCAGACACACCACGATCGATAACAACCCGGCGCACCAAAGCACGGCGGTGCGTTGGCCGACTCCGCCATTACGGACCCCTAAAAATTGATTACCGGGACACCTATCAATCGGCATTATTTCTAATCCTCCTCCCACTACTTCTCCTGACCATACGCAGCTAGGATGTTTAGATTGTGCTTTTTAATAATAATAAAGATGCGCAGTACCCCCCACCGTCCACTAGAGGCCGCAGAATGGGCAAACCGTGATCTGAAAGACTCCGGTGTGGCGATTTTTTACAGAGCAAAAGGAAAATGGGGAAAAGATACAATTAACCTCTAATACAGGGGTGCAATAAGAATGATGTTCTAGGTAATTATAGTTGATTGAGGAATGCTGCATGCAAATTGACTGTAGTGCTGGGCAAATTATTTAGCATGTAAACAGTTAAGTCTAGGTAGCCAAAACAGCTGTTCAGCGAAATTATCTGTAATTACAGAAGTGTGCGGCAAACTGTAATTGATGTTGTTGTCAGTTGCCTTTGTTTTCTGCGTCGCGGTGCCGGCATACGCGCTGTGCTCCCCGGGTTTTACAGGAGGCTGCAGGTTTGAGACCTCGTCATCTCATCTCTGGGTCTTTTGGATGGTCAAACGCTTTGACACATGGCTCGATCTGCAGAGATTCAGTACTGGGATTTTAGGTGAAATGCTTTTCAGATGCACTTTTTTTTCTGCACGACAGTCTGTTTCATCAGTTAAATGTAAAGCTTATTTGTTTAAAATATCAGAAATATGTGGTGGTACAGTGTATATATATCAGAGGCTTTTGTATGGTGTGTTGTGTCAGCTTGTATTTAAATCTTGTCCTGTTTAGTGCTCTTCTGTCAAGATTCACTAGTTGTGTCTCTCTCTGGTGTTTTTATAGTTTTTTTTAAAACATTCTGTTGTCCTGAGCATAGGCCCTCTTTGGGCAAATAGTTATTCGGATGCAAAATGGACCCCCTCTAATTTGGGTTGGGGGGTGTTAAAATGAGCTAATTTGTGTTATGGTGTGATGCTTTTGGTGAAGATGGACCTTAACGAGCCCCAGGGCAGACTCACCAGGGTCAACGCTCAACCCACCGGTGTCATGGTGTCATGCGACCTCGTTGGTGGTGCTGAGGTCCAGTGACCCGATGCGTTGGGTGTTACAGGGCAGTTTATGCGCCGTCATACTGCCATTGGAACCACCTGGCTGAAGCTAATCTGTAATATGCGTGTTTGTGCCCTGCAATGGTCTGGTAACACATCCATTGTGTACTTCTGTCTGTGTCCTGTTGTGCTTGGGATTGGCTCCTGTGTCTATGACTCTGTCCTTCCAAGCGTTTGGAAGATGGAAGGATGGATGGATGGATGAATGGGTGATGACATCTGCAGAGAAAATCTTTGTCTATAGGCAGAATCCCTGAGATTCCACAAGGTTTGTCACGTTTTGTGCTGAAATGCTGGATGGTGTGTCTAGGTCAAAGGTCAGCTGAGGGTCAAGGTCACCGCTCGTGGCTTTTGTCCCACCGGCCATAGGAGTAAAGGCTCCTGGGTCACAACGGCCCTGTATCTGATGTTCTTGGTTCGGGTCGTACCGGCTGCGTACGAGGCCACTGTAGTGAAAGTGTATCCTAGTGAGT